ATTCTGGGATCCAGAAAGTCCTTTCTCTCTTTTTCTACTGAAATAACCCTCCTCTAAGCAATAAATGCCTCACAGTCCAGATTAGATGGAAAAGAGGACACAGTATGGAAAGGAAATGCCAGGAACTGAAACATACTGGTAATATAGATGTTACCCCATCATACTAGGGTGATCAGTCATCCTTGTTTGCCTGGACTAAGGAGTTTCTTGGGACATGAAACTTTGGGTACTTAAAGCAGGGACAGACCTGTGCAAACTGGAACAAGCTAGTCACCGTGCACTGTACAGCTGCTACTACTAATCTCATTTCAATACACAGCTTTATTCAGCTTGCTAAGGATGGAATCAAGATCAGACCGTTATCAACAATTCCTTTCCAAAGTTCCTTTTTTCTGCCAGGTGCAGTGAGTGAGTCATGCCTGCAATCCCAGCACTTTGGGAGGCTGAGGCAGGTGGATCACTTGAGGCCAGAAATTTGAGACCAGCCTGGCCAACATGACAAAAACCTGCCTCTACTAAAAAATACAAAAAATAGCCAGGTATGGTGGCACATGCCTGTAATCTCAACTACTCGGGTGGCTAAGGCATAAGAATCAATTGAACCCGGAGGTAAAGGTTCCGGTGAGCCAAGATTGCACCACTGCACTGAAGCCTGGGTGACAGAGCAAGATTCTGTCTCAAAAATAAATTAAAAAGTTGTTTCAATTTTCATTTCCTTTAATGTGAGCAAGCATAAGTATCTTTCCTTTTCCTATGTTTAAAAGCAATATTTTCTATTCCTTTTCTCTGAACTATCTGTTCATACCTGTGACCTATCTGTTTAAAAAATTTAAACAGTTTTGAAACATTATATTTGTACAAAAGGTACATGTGCAATTTTGTTACATGCATAGAATGTGTAATGATAAAGTCAGAGTATTTAGGATACCTGATAATCACCCAAGTATTTATCATTTCTATGTGTTGGGTACATTTCAGGTCTCCTCGCTATTTTGAAAAATAACACAATACATTGTTGTTAAATAGCAGTAAAGACATCCAGTTAAACATAGTGGATTGATAACATATATGTTTTTCTCTCCCTCATACCCCACCTATATGACAATAAGGAAGAAAAAGTGTATTAACCCAGAACATTAATAGCAAAGAAAAGGAGATATTAGTGGCCCAGGGATTTCAGCAAGTTTTTGGAAAACAGAGGCAGAAGGGGAAGTAGTAACTGACTTAACAGGGGGAGGAAGTTATGACCCAAATGTCTGCAGGGAGTATTGTTTTGATGACCAAAAGACGAGCCCAGATTCCTCCATAGGAGAGACAGACACTAAAAATAAAGACATGGATGGAAATCTCCCACAGAGTAGAACAAAAAAGACAAAAAGAGGGAAAATAGCGAAAAACAGAAAATTAGGAGCTCAGTTTCAAAGGTACAACTCTTGACTAGGAGAAATTCCAGAAAGCAAAAAAAAAAAAAAAAAAAAAAAAAAAAAAATGGAGGGGAGATCCAAGTGTGGTGACTCAGTCCTCTAATCCCAACACTTTGGGAGGTCAAAGCAGGGGGATTGCTTGAACCCAGAAGTTTGAGAACAGCTGGGCAACACAGTGAGATCCCATTTCTACAAAAGATAGAAAAATGACTCAGGCATGGTGGTATGCACCTGAGGTGCCAGGATCACTTGAGCCTGGGAGGTTGAGGCTGCAGTAAGCCATGACCATGCCACTGCATTCCAGCCTGTGCAAAATAGCGAGACACTGTCTCAGGGGGGAAAAAAATAGAAGGGAAGAAAATTATCACAGAAATAATGTAAGAAAATTTCCTAGGTTAGAGGGATGTAAGTCTCCAGACTGAAAAGGCCCAGCTAACACAAGTAAGGAAAAGCCTCACTGAGGGGAATCATCATCAAATACATTATGGATAAAGATGATCGCCTAGCTAGGCATTCTGGCTCATACCTGTAATTCCAGCAATTTGGGAGGCTGAGGTGGGTGGATTGCCTGAGGTCAGGAGTTTGAGACCAGCCTGACCAACATGGAGAAACTCCATCCGTACTAAAAACACAAAATTAGCTGGGCGACATAGTGCATGCCTGTAATCCCAGCTACTCAGGAGGCTGAGGCAGGAGAATCATGTGAACCCAGAAGGCGGAGGTTGCAGTGAGCCGAGATCGTGCCACTGTACTCCAGCCTGGGAAACAAGAGTGAAATTCCATCTAAAAAAAAAAAAAAAAAAAAAATTGATGATAGCCTAAAAGTTTTCAAATATTAAAAATTTTAAAAAAGACACATACAAAGCAATAGGATTAAGAATGGCATTAGATGTCTTAAATCTGGATACTAGAAACAATAATGCAATGCTTTAAAAATTCTGAGAGAAAATAATTTTCAGCCTAGATTTCTTTCTTTTTTCTTGTTTTTTTGAGATGGAGTTTTGCTCTTGTTGCCCAGGCTGAAGTGCAACGGCGTGATCTCGGCTCACCGCAACCTCCGCCTCCCGGGTTCAAGTGATTCTCCTGCCTCAGCCTCCTGAGTAGCTGGGATTACAGGCATGTGCCACCACACCTGGCTAATTTTGTATTTTTAGTAGAGACAGGGTTTCTCCATGTTGGTCAGGCTGGTCTCAAACTCCCGACCTCAGGTGATCTGCCGACCTCAGGTGATCTGCCGGCCTCAGCCTCCCAAAGTGCTGGGACTACAGGGATGAGCCACCACGCCCAGCATTCAGCCTACATTTCTATACCTTACTAAACTATTAATCAAGTGTGAAAACAGTATAAAGACATATTTACACATAAAAGGACTAAATATATTTGCTTCTTTGCAGACTTTCTCAGGAATCTACAGAAAGATGTGTTGCACAGAGATGACAGAGTAAATCCACAATTCAGAAGTTTGAGACACAAGGTCCAGGGCACAGGGAATCCCAATCAGGAGTAGGATGTAGAAAAGTTCAGTATGACAGCTGTGCAGTAGGCCTGAAGAGCACTGCTGCAGATCAGAGCTGAAGACTTCAGGAGAAAAACATAAATGAGAATTCGTGAACTTTTTTTTTTAAGTTGTTGTTGTTGATTTTGTGAGATGGAGTTTTGCTCTTGTTACCCAGGCTGGAGTGCAATGGGGTAATCTCGGCTCACTGCAACCTCCACCTCCTGAGTTCAAGAAATTCTCCTGCCTCAGCCTCCCAAGTAGTGGGGATTACGGGCATCCACCACCACGCCTGGCTAATTTTTGTATTTTTAGTAGAGACATGGTTTCTCCATGTTGGCCAGGTTGGTCTTGAACTCCTGACCTCAGGTGATCTGCTGGCCTCTGCTTCCCAAAGTGCTGGGATTACAGGCATGATCCACCACACCCAGCCAAATTATTTGTTATATTACACATCTGGAAAAATCACTTTGCTGGTTGTTTGTCTAATTTATTAACCACATAGGAAAAAATTAATAGCTGCAAAGAAAGCTAATGAAAATGGGGAGGAGGGAAATGAGGCAGTTAGCCTTAGGAAACACCAAAAGAGGCTGGGTGCAGTCTCTTTTGGTATTTCCTTTATTATTTTATTTAAAAATAAAAATAAACTTCTTCACTTTAGATAAATTGTAAATCAAATTATGCAGGAGTTTTAATGGGCCAGGCCTGAGAATGGCACACATCACATTTAATTGGCCAGAACTTGGTCTGAACTGTAAGGAAGGCTGGGAAATATGGTCCAGCTGTGTGTGTCCAGGAGCAAGAAGAAATAAGTTTTCGAGAGGAAATAGCAATATCTGACACAACAGGCAAAAAGTAGGGGTGAGCAGGTGAGGAAGAGCATCTCAGGTATTCATTCATTCAAGGAGCAACACATATTTATTGACCACCTACTGTTGACTAAGCTTGGTTCCAGGTATAGGGATACAAGAGTGAATAAATAAAAGACTGCTCTTATGGAGTTTCTGTTTAGTGGGGAACAGCAGGTGTAAGCTGGAACTTTCCATGGGAGTTGGAACCTGCCCTTCTAGGCCAGTGTGGCTGGAACAGAATTTTAACATTTTTTGCAGGAAGTAATAAGGACTTTAGATTTGATTCTAAGAGCAATGGGACTCCATTAAATCGAATATTAACCAGGGAGTGGCATGATCTGTTTTATTTATTTATTTAATTTTTATTTTTGAGATGGAGTTTCACTCTTGTTGCCCTGGCTGGAGTCCAGTGGTGCCATCTCTGCTCACTGCAACTTCCGCCTCCCGGATTCAAGTGATTCTCCTGCCTCAGCCTCCTGAGTAGCTGGGATTACAAGTGCACACCCCCACGCCCGACTGAATTTTGTATTTTTAGTAGAGACGGGGTTTCACCATGTTGGCCAGGCTAGTCTCGAACTCCTGACCTCAGGTGAATCACCTGCCTCGGCCTCCCAAAGTGCTGGGATTACAGGCGTGAGCCACTGCCCCTGGCTTATGATCTGCTGTAAATAATTACTCTGGCCACCTTATGGAAAATGGGTTGTCCAGCCAGAGCTGGACAAAAGAATGGAAGAGAGACCAGATATTTCAGGCAGGCTAGAGATGAGCGTGGCCTGGCCTTGCCTGGTGCGGTCGTGACTGACTGGATTGGGTAAGGGACAGGAAAGAAACAACAAGGATGCCTACAGGTGTTTGGATTGAGTCACTGGGGGCACTCTAAATGGGAACTATCTCTGTAGCAGTTTGAGACACCAGTCAGATAAGGGATGTGAAAGCTTTTAGGAAAGGTTGAACGGCGGCTGAAATCGCGTGTGTTCCATTTTACAGATGAGAAACTGAGGCAGGTCACGTTGTGCGACACTCTCCCCGCTTAGGTGGGTGAGGAGGCCGAGGTGTGTTGAGCCCCCACTAAGCGCCAGCACCGAGCAGAGCCCCGCCCGGCCCCTCGCACCCGGCTTTCCCTGTCCGCTGCTCGTGTCCCAATAAAGTTATTGAAATTGACACTGGTTGCTAAGGAAGTGGGTCGCTGAGCCAGGTTGCTAAGGAAGTGAGCGGCCACTGTCTCTCCCCATCCGGGGCAGCGGGGAATGGCTGAGCCAGGGGTTCGCCGCCCCCGCCGCCGCCGCCGCCGCCGCCGCCCGCTTTTGGCCCGGGCCGCAGGTGAGTCGGAGGTGCCGGGCGTCCGCCGAGCAGGGCCTATCCGTGTGGCTGCCTGGGATTTTCCCGGCGGGCCCGCGCCGCCGCCTGGCTTTGCTGTCCTGCGAGCTCGAGCATCCTCTGCCCTGCTTCCCGGGCATCCTCTGGTCGTCCGGACGGCCTCGCCCCTTCTCCCCCGGGCGGGATCGCGGCCCGACCCCCAGACAGGACCACCCTGAGCCGCAGCCCACCTGGGGACCTTGGGACTGTGATCAGGGAACCAGTTTGGGAGGAGGGCGGGGAAGCGAGAACCTGGGGTCCGAACCTCGTTGCTGTCCCGGGCTTGCTGTGTGACCTTGGGCAAGTCTTTTCTCCTCTCTGGCCTTAGTTGACCTGTTTGTCCAGTGGGGTCCTAACCTTGCTTCTCAGAGTGGTTAAGGTGATGAGACGTGTATGTGAAAGTGCCCTAAATGGGGAGATGGAGCACTCTCAGGGAACCCTAGCATGGGAGACCAAGCAGCCAGTTTGAAGACTGAGTGAGTTACTAGAGATGTGGTATTTCCACTTAGTAAGTGTGTGACCCTGGACAAGTTAATTTCTCTGAGTCTTCTTTGTCTTATCTGTGAAATGGGATTATAGACTACTGTGGACATCCAATGAGACTGAGTATGTCAAGTAGCTTGGCAAAATAGTAAGTACTCAACCAGCTATCATGAGGTGTCTAGGGTAGGAGGGCAAGACTCACAGGAGGAGATGACTTTGGGACAGGTTAGGTGTAGGTGTGTAGGATGCCAGCTCATATGGGTAGTCCTACTGCAATGCCAACTTCCAATCCCAGTTTTACTTCTCCATTCTGCTCAGAGCAAGGGAAGTAGTGGACTTCTACAAGTAGCCCTGGGAAACTCTTTGAGGTCAAGCCCTTGGAAATAGTTGGGGTCATGATCTCATTTTCTTTATTTTCTTTTGAGATGGAATCTCACTCTGTTGCCAGGATGGAGTGCAGTGGAGAGATTTCGGCTCACCACAACAGCCACTGACTCCTGGTTTCAAGCGATTCTCCTGCTTCAGCCTCCCACACCCAGCTAATTTTTGTATTTTTAGTATAGATGGGGTTTCACCATATTGGCCAGGATGGTCTTGATCTCTTGACCTCATGATCTGCTTGGCTCAGCCTCCCAAAGTGCTGGAATTACAGGCGTGAGCCACCGGGCCTGGCCCATGTTCTCATTTTCTACTTGGGCTTCATTGACTCTTCCAGAAGAAAAGAGACATCTTTATGTCCTTTGGGAAGTGCTTAAAGCAGTAATAACTATTTTATAAGCATATGATTAAGAAGCACTTTACCAGGTATATTATTTCATTTACTCTTTATGTAGACTTTGCCGGGTAGCTGGTGATGTCATCCTCATTTTGCCAAAGAGGAAACAGGTTCAGAAAAGTAAAGGAAAGGACCTGCCTAAGAATCTTTTTTTTTTCTTTTGAGACTGAGTCTCAGTCTGTTGCCCAGGCTGGAGTGTAGTGGCGCAATCCCAGCTCACTGCAACCTCCGCCTCTTAGGTTCAAGCAATTCTCCTGCCCCAGCCTCTGGAGTAGCTGGGACTACAGATGTTCACTACCTCGATCACTAATTTTTGTAGTTTTAGTAGACAGGCTTTTGCCATGTTGGCCAAGCTGGTCTCAAACTCCTGGCCTCAAGTGATACACCCGCCGCCGCCTCCTAAAGTGCTGGGATTACAGGCTTGTGCCACTACATCGGGCCATTGCCTAAGAATCTTGCATCTACTAAGTGATTAAAGTGGACATGTTTCTAGGTAAATGCTGTATTTTATCCTCCATTCACTGTTGTGTTTGATTTTGCAACAGTTGCTATTATAAGGCCACGATTATTCTTTTGTTACTTTTAACTGGCTAGAAGCTTTTCTTCAAAAGGCAAGGAAAGAAATCTCATGTAAAGCTTCATTTAAATAGATACTGTACAAAGTGAGGACCTCAGAAAAGGGCTGGAATCTTTTTTTTTTCTTTGAGATGGAGTTTTGCTCTTGTTTTCCAGGCTGGAGTGCAATGGAGTGATCTCAGCTCACCGTAATCTCTGCCTCCCGGCTTCAAGCTATTCTCCTGCCTCAGCCTCCCGAGTAGCTGGGATTACAGGCACGCCACCACTTCTGGCTAATTTTATATTTTTAGTAGAGACAAGGTTTCTCCATGTTGGTCAGGCTGACCTCTAATTCCCAATCTCAGGTGATCTGCCTGCCTTGGCCTTCCAAAGTACTGGGTTTACAAGCGTGAGCCACTGTGCCCGGACTGAAAGCTGGAATCTTTAAAAGTGGGCTTCTCTGTCTCTCATTCCCTCCTCTTTAAAATGAGGAGACTAGGCTAGATTATACTGAAGGCCCTTTCAGTGGTGTTAGGCAGTTGTGGTTAAAAGCCTGCAATCAGACTACTTGGACTAAAATCTTGGCTCTACCACTTACAAGCTGTATGCTACTGAGCAAAGAGGTGCTACTTTACCTCTGAAATGATGCTCAGTGCCTCTGAAATGATGAGAGGACTCTTTGGTAAGGAGCCCTGTGAGGAAGACTTATTCATAGTTAATTTTGAACACCTTGGTGGTGTAGTTTCCTCATCTGTAAAATGGGGATAGTAGGCTGGGTGTGGTGGCTCACGCCTGTAATCCCAGCACTTTGGGAGACCGAGGAGAGCAGATCATGAGGTCAAGAGATCGAGACTATCCTGGCCAACATGGTGAAACCCTGTCTCTACTAAAAAATAAAAAAATTAGCTGGGCATGGTAGTGGGCACCTGTAGTCCCAGCTACTCAGGAGGCTGAGGCAGGAGAATCGCTTGAGCCTGGGAGGCAGCAGTTATAGAGAGCTGAGATTGCATCACTGCACTCCAGCTTGGTGACAGAGCGAGACTCCATCTAAAAAAAAAATGAAGATAATAATAGTACATATTATGTATAGCTGTTCTGAGGATTTATTTGAACCCAATATATGTAAAGTGGCCAGCATATTTGGTAAACATTAGCTATTGTTATTTGGACTAATGTGGTGCTTGTACTGTATTTTCCATTTATGCTTGGCAAATGAATAAATTAAAGCATATGATAATACCAGGTCTGTCAACCATAACATCATTGCAAGCAGGAAACGGTAGCCATCATGGCATTATATAAATGTTGATATTTTTATACGGTTGCCCCAGGAACCTGTAACCCTTTGCCACAGTGGGTTGCAAAGAAAGGTGAAAGTTGTTGGTAGGATGTCAGGTTTGGTAGCCCAACACCCAATTCAGTAAATATTTGCTAAATCGCCTTGTGCTAGGCACATGAAGGATGTGGAGATCAGTCCCACATTGATCTCCTTCAAGGAACTCAGAGCTTGCTTTGCAACTTACTGCATTTGACATGATTTGACTTCTTTAAATGAATTCATATCTTATCTTATGTTTGCCTGGCTGCAGAGTAAAGCCACTGATTCTAATCTCTTTTGTTGTGTCCCTAGACTTCTGTTAGGTGCCTGGATTAGAAACCTCAGATTGCTTCCTAAGCCTTTTCATCCATTAATTTACAAGTCCCTGAGAAAGAGACTCCTCTTATGTAACAGGGAGTAACAATACTTGACAATAACAATATGGTGCCTAATGGTTTACAAAAATGCTTACGCTTGCTTACACATTCTTTTACTCATTTAATCTTCTCTGTGTCCCTTCAAGGAAGGTGAGGTGCAAATTAGGATCTCAATTTTATAGTTGAGAAATCTGAAGAGAAGCCAAGAAGCCATGATGCGAGTGAGTTCAGTCTTCGGGCTTCAAGTGCACTTGCCACTATCCTCCCCAGATTTTATTTATCCGGCATCTCCTGAGCACCTAGGATGTGTCAGTTCTGTTTTAGCCTGGAGATATCATGGTAGAAAGGTACATGAGTCCCTTGCTCTCATGCAGCTTATATTCTACTGGCAGCAAACAGAAAAACACACCAATAAATGAACAAGGGAATTTGGATAAGGAATAAGTGCTGGGGTGAAATCCTGTCTCTACTAAAAATACAAAACTTAGCTGGGCCTGGTGGCATCTGCCTGTAGTCCCAGCTACTCAGGAGGCTAAGGCATGAAAATCGCTTGAACCCAGGAAGCGGAGGCTGCACTGAGCCGAGATCATGCCATTGCACTCCAGCCTGGGTGACAGAGTAAGACTCAGTCTCAAAAAAAAAAAAGAAAAAAAAAAACGGCCTTGCTAGGGTAGTGATATTTTTGCTGAGATTTGCTCCCATGGAGGGGCCGGCCATTTGAAGATGTGTTAGAAAGAAGAACAAGGGTAAAGGCTGTGAGGTGAGAACAAGCTTGGTAAGTTCTAGAAACTTCAAGAAGGCTTAGAATGGCTGGGACAGGTGAGTCGAAGGCAGAGACAGGAGGTGATGGATGTAGGGGATGGGAGCGGTGGGGAGCATCTCAGATCATACAGGGCCTTGTCTGCTAGAGTAAGGAATTGGGATTTTGTCTTAAAAGCTGTGGGAATCGTTGGAGGTTCTGGAAAAGGGGAGTGACATGATCTATTTTTGTTTTTTAAAATATTCACTCTCACCTCTGTGGCCAATGAATTTTAGAGGGCATAGGAGTGGCAGCCAGGAGGCTAGTTAGGAGGTTAGGCAAGAGAAGATAGTGGCCTTCTAGGTTGGTGGTAAGGGAGGTGGTAAAAGAGGACGGATTGGGGATGTGTTTTGGAGGTAGAACCAGCAGGATGGTGAGGTGAGGGTGAGATAATGAGAGGAATTAAGGATGACTCCTGGGTTTTTGGCCTGAGCAATTAAGTAGGTGTTAGAGATGCCATCTGCCTCTGAAATGATGAGAGGACTCTTTGGTAAGGGGCCCTATGAGGAAGAATTATTCATAGTTTATTTTGAGCCCCTTAGAGGAGAGGCACAAGGTATAAGCATCATACGTAGTCTGTGGGGAGGAAATTGCAGATTATGCTGACGGAAGCTAGCCAGGTGTAACTGACTGAAACTTGAAATTCCCACTGTGAAC